AGCAGGCTCCCCGCGGAACAGGGAGACCGATGTGGGGCTCGATCCCAGGACCCTGGGATCCTGACCTGAGCCGAAGGCAGACGCTTAACGACTGAGCCACCCAGGCGCCCCTATTATATTTGTTTTATACTCCAAGTTATAATCTAATACTACATAATTTATTTTGGTGCTCAAATTGTTCCAGATTTGGCCATGGGGAGCTCTTCCAGGTTGACTCCTGTGTCCTTCGACAGGCCTCCATGATTTTATTCTTTGAGCATTTTTTACTTCTGGAGCTATACCACGCTCCAGACTCCGGTTGTACTTTCCCTGCCACAGCTCTAGAACCACTCTTTTCTCTAAACAGCCCTGGCTTCTCTTATTGGAGGATGGTATTTGGACGAAGACCAGAGTGCAAACGATTCCTTTTCAGTTGAAAATGAAGTAGAGTTGAGGATGCCTCAGGACCCTGCCCTCCCTCGTACGACGACCTCCGACGCAGCCCCCGCGACTATTCCAGGCATGCCTCGCGCGACCGAGCGCATGCGCGCCGGGGCGGTGTGACGCTGGACATCGGCCCGGACGCAGGCGTGAGGCAGTCGGAGCCGAGGAACCCCAGCGGCGTCCCTGCGCTCCAGTGCCTTGCTTCGGTGCTCCGCGGCGGCGCCTCGAGAGTTCGCAGGTAAATGTGTCGGTTCGGTCCGGGCGACGCCAGGCCCCCTTCTGCTCCCCATCCCCCAGATTTGATTCCTCTGGAGCTTTTCCTAGAGCCGCCCAGCCCCGCACCCCTCCGAGAAGATCCCCTCTCGACCCGCGTCCCGCCCCTCTCCAGCGTCGGTCCCTGTAGAGCCTCGGTTAGAGTCGCCCCGCTCCGCGCGCCCTCCCCTTCCCGGGTGTAGGTCCCTGCAGAACTTCCTGTACTGCCGCTCAGCCCCGCACCCCTCTGAGAGGACCCCCCCCTTCCAGCCCGCGGCCCGCCCCTCCCTGGCTTAGATCCCAGCCACCTCTAGCGCGGTCCACTCCGCGCCCATCGGAGGCGACCCTCCTCCCCCAGCCCTCCTCCTTTCTTCCCTTCCTGGTGTTGGCTCCACCAGAGCCTCCGCTAGAGCCCTCGAGCTCCGAGCGCCCTCCTCTTCCCCGGTGTTGGACAGTCCAGAGCCTTCCCTAGAGCCCACCCCGCGCCGCTCGGAGCGGACCCCCTCGGCTTCGGCCAGGCTAGAGCGGCCCAGCTCCAAGCCGCTCTGGAGGCACTGTCCTCGGCCCGCGTCGCCTCCCCTCCCTGGTGCCGGCCCCTCCAGAGCCGCCCAACACCGCACCCCTCGGAGAGGACCCCCTCCTCCGGGTCAGCGTCCCTCCGTCCCAGGGTCCTGTGGAGCCTCCTCTAGCGCCACCCGCTCGGCGCCCCTCTGAGGCGATCCCCGGCCCACTCCCTTTCTCCCCTCTCTGGTGTTCGCCGCTCCAGAGCCTCCCTTAGAGCCGCCCAGCCCCGCCCGTTCTCCTTCTGCTGCCCCCTTCCCGCAGGTGCTCCCCGCGAGCCCGCCACCTTTCCGCCCGCACGGGTCTCCCAGTGCCTGGTCTCTGCCCTTGCCCGCACTGAGATCGTACTCTCCTTAGGAATCCGGAGCGGCATTGAAGCTGTGGACTCGCGGGTGCGCCCGGCCCCCCGCTTCGTTTCACTTACTCTTGGCTTTGTGGTGGTTAAGACTTTTGGTTGTACATTATCTTTTTTCACGTTTGATCCTTTCATTCAGCCAGATCGGGAACTCCGGAGCCCACGGTTTTTATTTTGTGTCGCAAAGAGTTTTTTGTTTTTATCTCAAATGTAGAGTAATTTACAAAGAAGAGGCTTCATAAAAATGAACGAATAGTAAGTTCCTGTTTTTCAGGGTGGGTGGAGGGAATGAGGTGTGACGGTCATACTGTCAAGAAATCTAGAGGAACGTGGTTAATTCCCAACGCCATTGACTCCTGGCCCCTGAGAATCTTTCTTTTCTTTTTTTTTTTTTTTTGAGTGCCTCTTCTGACTAGGACAGGGTGGAGCCACTGCTTGAGGCAGGAGTGTTTAAATTGAAAGGGAGGAAAGTTCCTCGGTCTCGTGGTCTTTGAGGAAACCATTGCGAGTGCAGGAAGTGAGTTGTCTTAAGTCACAAGGGGAATTAGGGCCTAAGCGGGGATTGTCAGCTGACTTACGGCCGTCATTTTTTGTCGAACAAATCAATGACCAAAATATATGAGATTGGGCAGCCGAACTGTCTTAAGGGCCAGCCTGTAAATGGGAATGAGAATGCCTGGGGCATTACTTTTTGCGTTAGTGATTTCTATACTTGACTCCTCCTGCCCCTCCCCAACATACTAATCTCTGAGGGCAGAAATCCAAAATGTTGCAGGATGGTCTTGGCAGACCATGTAGTGTTCAGTAAATGTTTACTAAAGGAGGCTGCGGAAAGGAACTCAGAACCTGACAGAGGTTCTTCACTAGCATATTTTTAATTGCGTTGGCACATTCTGTAGGCAATATTCCTAATAATCTCAAGGACTGAATTTATGAAATGTGTACACATTTTGTGTGTGTGTGTGTGTACATCATTCTATAGAATGAACAGATACCATTCTTGGTGTGATGGTTGTATTATTCCTCTGGAAGATAGAGGGTTTTTCTGATTCCCTCTAGAAACTTTGCTATGCTTCCCAGCTTGCCACCCTACATTAATATTTGGTTTCTTTCTCCTTAACTCTGCCTTTTTTTCTTTCTTACTAGATGTCTGAAGAAATTAAAAATTATTAGTGTCTGTAACTATGAAAAACTGCAGAGAGTAAAACAAACTATTAAACATGTTACAAAAAGTGGTTTAGTTATGATTTATTGGTTGTATGTTTGCTTCTGAATTTGATCATGGGGACAGAAAGTTGAACTTTCTTGCCTGTCCAGTGTGTCTGCCCTTTGATGAGTGCTTGTATTAGGCTTGTTATCAAGAAATGGTTGCTACCTGGCAATGGCCAGTGCTACATACGAACTGACCTCTAAATGATGATGGGTCACCCAGTTCTTGTCCCCTGTATTTAGAGACGCTTGGGAATTCTTGTTGCCTTTACAGTATCATTCTTTTTTTTTTTTTAAGATTTTATTTAAAGATTTATTTATTTGAGAGAGAGAGAGAGAGTGTGTGTGTGTGTGTGTACGGTGAGGAAGGGCAGAGGAAGAGAATCTTCAAGCCGACTTTGAGCTAAGTGCACAGCCCAAGGCGGGACTCAGTCTCACACCCCATTAGATCATGACCTGAGCCGAAACCAAGAGTTGGTCACTTAACTGACTGAGCCATCTAGGCACCCCTAAAGATTTTACTTTTAAGTAATCTCTACACCCAATGTGGGGCACAAACTCACAATCCCGAGATCAAGAGTGTCATGCTCTACTGACGAAGCCAGCCAGGTGCCCCTGCATTATCATTTTTGAAGAACAGAGTTTTCCTCCCTTTGATAAGGTAGTAACTTTTACAGTTAAAGTACAGAGAGGGCTAGCCAGAGGAATGAGGGTATTGTGAATGAGTCAGTTGTAGACAACCCTGAATTGCTGTTCTTAGAACAAAATAGTAATGTAATTATAGCTGTTCTCTGTTTTGGAGAGCCTAAGGGGCTCTTTGGGCATATTGCCTCAGTTAATTCTTACACTAACCTTATAAGATAACTAGTAATGTCCTGTTGTATAGGTAAGAAAAGTGAGGCTTGGGAGGTTTGGTATTGTGCTCAAAGTCATACCAGTTAGTAAAAGGTAGTAAGAGGAATCTGTTGCCAGATTCCAAAGGCAATATTCTTTCTACCTGTTAAATTGATCTCTTTTGGATTCAGTGTTATGTTTTGTTTTTAAAAATTTATTTTATTTTAGAGAGAGAGTGAGCATGCACTCACAAAGGCGGGGATGGCTGGAGGGAAAGGGAGAGAGAATGTCAAGCAGACTCCATGCTGAGTGCAGAGCCCCACATGGGCTCAATCTCATGACCCTGGTGAGATTACGACTTGAGCCGAAACCAAGAGTTGGGACGCTTAACCAACTGAGCCACCCAGGCACCCCTGGATTTAGTATTTTTGAAATGATTTCAGTTCACATTTAAAATAATTTGAATTGCTGAATATGATTTATATTTGAAAACTTCCTATAGGTTTACTGGCATGTGAGTAATGTGGGTATTTTTCAACTAGTTAGTTTGCTGGTGTTTTATTCTTGAGAGACCAACAGCAGGACTTTTATCTGATGAGTTTTAGTTTATGCAATAGATCTTGCTCCAGGATATAAATAGTGAAATGTTGAAATAAATTGTGAAGTGATGTGGAATTCAGCAAGGAAAGCAAAGAAATATTCCTGTTCCTTAAGAGATGGATTTGGTTATGTACTGGGAGGTCTTTTGTTTGTTTTTTGCTTTTACTTTTAGTGTATATGTGTTCAAATTTTGACCTTCAAGGGCATCTTAATTTATTAAATCTTCTAAGCCATTTGAGAAGCATCCTAATGTGCTTCTGTCTCCTGGAATGTTTTGGGCAAATTTTGTCAGGTGAGGAAGTAATAGTGATAACAGTAATAATTGCTGTGTGAGCAGCTCCCATTTCTTGAGTTTTAGTAAATGTAAGGCACTATGCCAAACACATGTTATTTCACCCAGTTTTCCAAATATCTGTCAAGTAGGTGTTGGCATTCTCATTGTATAGGTCAAGAAACTAAGGCTTGGAAAAGTTAAGTAACTTGCCCAAGGTTATTTATTTACTTATTTATTTCCCAACCCCGCCCCTCTTGCCCAGGTTTATTTATAAGTCGGTGAGTCAGGATTTGAACATGGGTCATCTGCTTTTGTCTCTGCTGTTGGTATCTTTTGTCTTTGTGATTTATGCCTTGTTTTCCCCTTAACTCATTTAAGTTCCATTTCAGGAGGGAACAGAGTTAGTTGTTTGTGCTCCTTATAATCCATCATTAATGTTGAAAATAGCAAAGCAGTCACCAGCATGGGTGATCTTGACATTATTGGTATATCTTTTGTCTTGGATCCTCATTTTAATATTACTGTTGTGTCTTCTATGAAAATAATTCTCCTGTGAATTTCAGTGTTTAGTGATAAGAAATATGGATTTTACATATCTATGTAATATTTCTGTTTAACACGGAGGGAAAAATGAAAAGATGGATGTTTAAAGTCTGCCTTTTGTTTGTTTGTTTTCCCCCCTCTGAGCACTGTTTCCAGGTAATCTCAAGGCAGAGCAGGCTAGCAGGATCTGGGATCAGAAATTGGGCTAGGCTGATGAGTAGGGTACCTCTTTTAGGCAGTGGCATGTGAGTGCTCTGTAAGGCTGAGGGCAAGTAGGCTGAGTGATAATGTCCCTTCCTCCTCTGCTTTGTGGTCAGGATTCAGGAGCCTGGCAGGGTACAGACTCTAAATAGAAAGATGTACCTGCGGTCCAGTTTAGGTGAGGTGGGTCATTTAAGGAGCAGTTGATGGCAGCTGCTTATTTAAGGACTTGTTGCCCTTGGTGTATCTTATTTATAGGACCTTGGTGTATCTTATGTGGAGGGTCTGTATTGTGTTACATGTTGCTTATGGGTTGGGAGTCAGAGGCAAGGGTTCTCTTGCTTTAGAGGCTGAGACTAAGGCTGATGAGGCAATAAGCTTCATGTGGTGGTCATGATACCAAAGTGAT